TTTTTTTTTTTCCATATGACATTAAAAGAAAAAGATAAGGGCACCTCGAGTTTCAACTTGACATCTTCTTTTGTCTTAGAAATAAAGTCTAAACCAGAGATGGCTGACTCCACTCCACTGCAGTACTGCCCATAAATAACCAATCTGAAAGGAAAAAAAAGGACAAAAAGGGGGAAAAAAAGAAATAGAAATGAATACCAAAGGACCAGAACGAAATGGGAGGCAGAGAGACAGAATATCTGTCTACATAAAACCACAATTAAGAAAATCTACAACGATTTAACTACTAATCAATCTACTAATTGGCTACTAATCAAGTTAGCACTAACCACTAAATAGCAACTAATCAACCAATTAACGAATCTTTATTAAGTGCCTACTGTGGCAGGCACTGCGGCAGCAATTAGAAGTAGGTAGGTGGTGTAGTATGGTTAGAATCCTGGACCTGGGAGTCAGGAAGACCTGAGTTCAAATGTAGACTAGCTGTCTGACCCTGGGAAAGTCACTTAACCTCCATTTGCCTCAGTTTCCTCAACTGTAAAATAGCAATAATAACAGTACCTATCTTTCATTTTCAGGGTTGTTGTAAGGACCAAATGAGATAATATTTCTAAAGCACTTAGTACAGTGCCTGGTGCATAGCAGGTGCTTAATACATTGTTATTCCTTCTCCTTCCCCTCCCACCCCTCTGCTCCTCAAAATAAGAAAGTATTTGTATATCCATGAATATGAACTTGGCCTAATATAATTGAAGGCTTATCAGCTTTATCCAGCTTTTAGCACAATTCCTGGCACATAGTAAGCACTTAATAAATGTTTATTGATTGATTATTGATTGATTATCAGAGGTGTATTAAACATTGTCACTTTAACTGTGGCATATTTGAACCTCAGTTTTCCTATGTAGCTTGATAGTTACCATCTGTGCCTTTTCACAGGTGATCCCCCATGCCTGGTTCATACTCCCCTTACTCACCTGTACCTAGCTTCCTTCAAGTCATGTCTCATTCACCACCTTCTTCATAAAACCTTTCTCAATCCTCTCAGTTACAAGTATTTTTTTTTAATTTCATGATATTATAGTGTATTACTTTTTATTTTGGAGAGAGAATGAAGGAAACAGACTAGTCATTTCGTTAGCATGGAAACTCCCATTTCCTACGCAGGAAGCTCCTCTTACCATTATAGATCAAAACCTGCTCTTAAATTTACAATCTTAGAGCACTGGGGGGCATTGAGAAGGTTAAGTGCTCAAGGTCACACAGGCAGTATATATCAGAGGAAGGATTTGAACCCAGTTCTCCATTCATTATACCATGCTGCCTTTCTGCTATTATACATATAATACTTGCTTCTCTGTCTACATATTGGATAGTATAGGCTCATTTTTGGTTTTGTATAGCAGACCCCTCACCATAGCTAGGAAGTGAGTGGCCAAGCTCAGGTTTTGATTGGAAGAGACTGAGAAGAAAGTCACACACCCTTCAGACACTAGAAATGTGATCAAGGTCAGAGAAGAGAAGATGGAATCAGTGAATGTTCCCTTTGTAGGACCCTGTTTGTAAGTCTACTTCCCCTGCTTGATGAGACATGACAAGGAGCAGGCAGAAGCCCCTATCAGTAACAGGACACCAAATAGAAAAAACCAGGCTCCTGTCACCCATACCTAGTACCATATCCTGACCACAGCAGGCATTTAATCCTGGTGAATTGAATTTAATGTATAAAATGAAGAGAATGGCTTAGATGATTGCAAGAATGACTTCGATGATTTCAAAAATGGCTTCTGGAATGGTTTCCCTTTCAATCTAAGAGTCACTGAAATCCCTGAGTAGTAATGCTATTAATAAGAAGAACTCATATTTCTAAAGAGCTTTCATATTTACTAAGTACTTTCTAATAGTTATCTACAAAGTAAGTAATAGAGGCTTTCTGATTCTCATTTTAAACATGAATAAAAGGCAATATCCAAATTATCCCCAAAGAGCTATAAAATTGTGCATACCCTTTGATCCAGCAGTACCATTGCTAGGTCTATATCCCAAAGAAATCCAAAAAAAGGGAAAAGCAACTATTTGTACAAAAATATTTATAGTAGCTCTTTTTATGGTGGCTAAGAATTGGAAATTGAAGGGATGCCCATCAACTGGAGAATGGCTAAACAAGTTGTGATATATGATTGTAATGGAATATTATTGTGCAGAAATAGCAGGTAGGATGATCTCAGAAAAACCTGGAAAGACTTACACGCATAGTGCAGTGAACAGAACCAGGGGAATGTTGTACACAATAACAGCAATATTGTTCAATGAAGAACTGTGAATGACTTAGCTATTCTCAGCAATACTCAGCAATACTCAACAATCCCAAAGGACTAATGATGAAGCATACTATCCACCTCCAGAGGAAGAATTGATATTTTTGAATACAGACTGAAGCATGCCATTTTTCACTTTCTTTAATTTTTTTCTTTTATTTGAATCTTCTTGTACAAAATGACTAATATAGAAATGTTTTACACGGTTGCACATGTATAACCTATATCAGGGAGAGGAGAGGGGAAGGAGGAAAGATAGAATTTGGAACTGAAAACTTTAAATAAGAATGTTTTTAAAAATTGAAAATATATATATATATTTCTTGAGAATAAAAAAGGCATTGTCCAAAATAAAGAGAGGTTTAGAAGGAGAGGTGGTTTGCTCAGACTGACAGTTTAGCCCCAGTAATAATGTCCAAGTGACATTATTTATAGAAGTGTTTGGATTTTCACGTACTTTAACAGGGAAAAATAGAGGTAAAAAGATCATTTGAAATTAATCTAAAAAAGATATCAATTGTAAGAGCAGCATGATAGAGTGGATGCAAGGAAGCTAGGTAGTGCAGTGGTTAGAGTACTGGACTTGAAATCAGAAGACTCATCTTCCTGAATTCAAATCTGGCCTCAGAAACTTATGTGTGACCCTGGGCAAGTCACTTAACCTGTTTGCCTCAGTTTCCTCATCTGTAAAACGAGCTGGAGAGGGAAATGGCAAACCACTCCAGCATCATTGCCAAAGAAACCCCCAAAGGGGTCCTGAAGAGTCAAACACAACTGAAAAACAACTGAACACCAAAGTGGACAGGATATCATTCTTTCAGTAAGTATTCTAATCCTCCCCTCCCCACTTAGATATTTGGTAGTTATGTGACTCTGGAAAAGTTATTTTACCTTGGTTTCCTTATCTGCAAAATGGAGATATTGGTATCACCTACCTTATAGGGTTACCGTGTTGATCAAATGAGACAGTATATGTAAAGTACTTCGCAAACATTAAATGTGCTATATAAATGTAAGTCATTATCATAAGACCTCCCTATTAATACAGAAGTTTGTTTTTACGTTACTAATCTGTGCATGCCAACATTGAGAGATGTTACTCAAATAAAGATATCATTTGCTGGGATGCAGAATCCAGTCCTTTTATATGTTTTTGATAATAATAGTGACTCTACCCATATTCCATCCTTTCTACTTGTCTATTGCGTGTTGTCTCCCTCTCCACCTTCCTTGAGAGTAGGGACAGTCTTGTTTTCTTGTTTTTGTCTTCTTAGTGCTTAGCACAGGGCCTGGCACATTAAGCACTTAATAAATAGCTGTCCATCATCAACCTATGTCTCTATTATCTATTTCTGTAAAATGAGATAACATGTAGGGTGCTTTGCAAACCTAGTACTTGTAAGTAGTATATCTTAAGATTCAATCATTCTATCTTATAGATAGAATGATTGTATCTTAAACCCTGCTCCAAAACCCTACATCCCATTTGTATAACTGCTTTCTTCACTAGTTGTTAACTTTCTATATGTGATTTTGCTCTTTCCATCTCCTCCTTATCTCCTCTCCAAAGCCTTCCGTTGGAAAGGGCAATGAAAACATTATCTATGTCCCTAAAGTTTTCACTTTCTTGACCTAATTTGTAGGTTCTTTTTTTTGGTAAGTAGGGGTAATTTGTCTCTATATGATCAACACGCTAATGGGCAGTGGTCCTCGAAAAGGCTTTCTGTTACCTCTGAGATATGCACCCTGGGAAGACGAGGTCTTTTGATTCTTTGTGTCAGTCCAGGTACATAGCTATGGCTGTCCGGAGTATCTCCTTAACAGACAGTTGACAACCAACGTAAGTCTTAGTAAAGGAAAACTCACTTTTGTTATATAAACAATATCGTCACATAGATATATTGTTTTTTGTTTGTTTGTTTGATAGGTTGGTTGTTTTTGTTTTGTTTTGTTGTTTTGTTTTGTTTGCTTGTTTGTTTGTTTCATGCTAAATAGAAACCCATGCCTGGAATGCTCTCCATCGTCACCTCTTGGCTTTCCTGGCTTGCTTCAAAAAGTCCGAGTTAAAATCCCACTTTCCACAAGAAGTCTTTCCTGATAGCCCTTAAATCTAATCCCTTCCTTCTGTTGACTGTCTCCAATTAATTCTGTAAGTAGCTTGTTGGACATGGTTGTCTATGTGTTGTCACCCCCATTAGACTTTGAGCTTCTTGAGAGCAAGGACTGAATGTTGTTTTCCTTTGTATTCCCCAGTACTTAGCACAGTGCCTGGCATACAATAGGCATTTAAAAAATGATTATTCACTGACTGACTACTACACACAGTAGATACTTTAATCCATTTTCTTGAGTTTAATCTAAACCAATCTCCTACTTTTTTATATGCAGAAACTGAGGCACAAAGAGAAAAAAGTGACTCAAAATCACACATTTATGGGAAAGCTATTAGGACTAGATCCCAGATCATCTGTCTCTCCTTCCTGTGTTCTTTACCCCATACCACAAAGATTCTGGGGGGGCGGGAAGATGCACCCATAATGCTGCAAGAATCCATTACCTTGAGATTAAGAAGTTTGTGTTTAACTGACTGGAACATAGCCAGATGTAGAAGAGGCTGATTAAATAATGATTTTCATTTCAGCCTTGGCACAAAGCACAGATGCTTCCAATGGTGGCCCATGTCGGGTCAAATGAGCAATGTAAAGGTTAAAATATTGTAAGTTTCTTTTCCCTTAAGAACTCTGCCTAATATGTTGGCCAACTATGATTCCAGAGGGATTAAGGATGAAGAATGCTACTCACCTCCTAACAGAGAGTTGATAGATTCATGAACATGGCCAACATGAGAATTCATGTTGCTTGCCTATGTATATTTGTTATGAGGGTTTTATTTTTCTTTCTTTTTTTCCAGTTGGGGAAGAGATAGGCCAAAAAGAAAAATAAATGCTTGTTAACTGAAAAAATAATTTTTAAAAATTACCTTTCCTTGTAGTTAATGAAAATTTGATATAAATTCTGGTCATTTTTATTGACAATGGAGTCATTAATCTCTTGCGTCAGGCTTCGGTGAACTTTCACTAGTTCCTTGAAAAAAGAAAATAATATCACAGAACATCAATAATCAAATTCTTCAAGAACCCACCTTCCTTAGCCCACCCTATCACCCACACCCTAACAATACAAAACTCAAATTTTGGTTGGAGTTGCCACTCATCACTGAGTTGATTTATCTGTCCATATAAATCTGCCAATATCAGGGTTGTAGATATATTTTTAAAGAAATAAATCACACATGGGAAATAGCAGACTTTGCCTTGAAACATCAGTGTCCATGCAAAAAGAGAAATTAATTCATTAGGTATTAAGAGCTAATTTATCCACCATGCAAAAATATATGTGGCTCCTTTTTATCCACTTTATAATCATTTATAATTTTTAAATAAAATTAGTCAAGTGCTTAATGTTTCATTGACAAGAGAAAGTAACGATTATGTCCCTGGGTGTGAAAAATTAGATTTGTACATTGGTCAATTAGTGGTATCCTTATGCTAAGCTAATAGCAGTCACACTAAATTGCTTAAAACATCAGACAGTTAATGGCAGAAAGAAAGAGCTAATAAATTTGACTAAATAGTTGAGTAGAGCTACTCAACAGCCAGAAGCTCACAATTTTTCTGAAAGGCAAATAATTTCGAAACTTCAGGCAGAAAATGCATGTCATAACTGAAAAGAGATAGACACCTCCTTTATTTGAATCAAGGACTTGATTTTCCCATTATCCCCTCCTTGCTGCCTTCGAGCATACCTTGGCTTAAAAGACTAATTTTTGCATAGGAAAATGAAAATAAAACCAGAGTTATTTGTCCCTGTCATTTTGTTGAGATAACTATAAAATCCACAATAATTGGAATGTCAAATGGTTCCTAAGATCAGAAGGTGTAATCTAGGAGGTTCTACATCTCAAGTTTTCTAGGACAAGCATTATTTTTTGTATGCTGAAAGGCAATTTGACATCATGAGTACTTCTGCCCACTATGTGAAAAATCAATGTGTGTGCATGGGAAGACATAAATGAACGGAGGCAGAGTATAGTAAGCAGAACCAGGAAAACAATACATGAAATGACTACAATGAAAATGAAAAGAACAACAAATTAACCTCAACTGAACACTGCAACATCATAATAACCAAACTTGAGCTCAAAGAAGTGATAAGGGAAGGACTTTACCAGCTTCTATATAAAGGGGGCCTATGGGTATAGAAAACTGCACATATCAGACTGTCTATATCTTCATTAATTTTACCGAATTGTCCTTCCAACCTTCCTTATTTTTTCATCCTTTTCATAAGGGTTGACTCTCTGGGAAAGAAATAGTAGGAGGTAATACATTAGCATATTTTTGGATAGAGTCTTATAATAATAACAGCTCACATTTACATAGCACTTCAAGGTTTCCAAAGTGCTTAATATATGCTATCTCATTTGATTATCACAATAACTCTATTTTTTGTTGTTCAGTCATTTCAATCATATCTGACTCTTTATGACCCCATTTGAGGTTTTCTTGGTAAAGATACTGAAGTGCTTTGCCATTTCTTCCTCCAGCTCATTTTACAGATGAGGAAACTGAAGCAAACAGGGTGAAATGATTTGCCCTAGTTCACACAACTAGTAAATGTCTGAGGCCAGATTTGAACACAGGGAGATCAGTATTCTTAACTTCAGGCCCTGTACTCTATTGTATCACCTAGCTGCCCACAACAACCCTATAAGGTAAATGATACTTGTATCCCCATTTTGCATATGAGGAAATCAAGGTAAAATAACTTTGCTGGTACATAGCAGCTAAGTGCCTACGGGAGGATTCAGACCTAGGCCTTCCTGACTTCAAGTCTAGCACCCTACCCATTATACTATGAGGCTTTTGCAATTAGCATCTTCCTTAAATTAATTTTGAGTAAGTCATCTATTTGCCTCTATTTCCTTGTTAAAGTACATGAAAATCCAACCACTCCTCTAAATAAATTCACTTGGGCATTTTTACTACTAAAATATTTTATAAAGTATTTGGGATCTACCCAGAACTTAAAGGCAAATGTTTGAATGATGGACATGTCAAAACGGAGAAAAGGCAGGAGAGAAAATGGTACTAGGACAATCCACTAAACACAAGAGGATTAGGGAGGTCTGAGCCAAGGTAAGGATGATGAAAGAGCTAAGAAATGTTACTAAAATAGCATACCCACTTATCTCATAGACCATATTCTTTTTAAAATGGATGTAGAACATGTACCACTAAACAGGAGGATATCTTCTGAATTCTTTCTTTCGGGAAAAAGAGAAAAGTAGACAATTGTCTTCATCCGGAGAGGAGGGAACTTTTTTTGAAGTCTACCATCATATAGACTATAATAATTAAATATATGTTTATTCATTTATTCTTTGCCTGAATGGTGACTAAAATTTTTCTTTAAAAACTTTAAGGAAAACATCTGATAACTATAAAGTAAATACAGAAATGGATAAAATGTTTAGCCATTATAATAGCCAAGATTTATAGAGTGCTTCAAGGTTTGCAAAGTATTTTGCAAACATTATCTCATTTTGTCCTTACAACAACTCTTGTAAGGTACCTGCTACTGTTACCTCTGTTTTACAGATGAGAAAATTGAGGTAGATAAATGTTAAATGGCTTGCTCAGAGCCACACAACATGAGCGACTGTAGCTGGATTTGAGCTCAAGTCTTCCTAGTTCCAGGTCTTATGCTCTATCCATTGTACCTACCACCTTTCTTGCCTTGGCAAGATTTCCTTAGAAAGTTCTTAGGGTGATGGACGTTCTCTGGAGAATGATATGGAACATAAATCTTTGTGCCCTAAAACATTCTGCAGTTACAAACTGGAATATAGAAAGTATAAAAAAATGAAGTGAAACCAACAAACTAACGTGCTTTATGTGTTTCTCTTGACATATTCTAAAAGCTTATCCGCGTCTTCAATCTAAACCGCAGGATCTTTTTACTTACAGGAATGTTGATGAAGACAGTATCGAACTCTGCAGCTGTCAGAAATCTTTTCAGTGGTGTCATGAAATACTGTAATGAGACAATGCAGATGCAACTGTCATGTTGGATTCTTGTTTTCTAATTCACATGATACCTTTTTCAATCAACCATCCAACCATCAATTAGTTATTGAGGACCCACTGTATATTCAATACTGTACTAATAATCACCATGAGAATTACAGAAGCATAAGGGATTTACAATCCAGTTGAAAAGACAGGGTGTGTACACATGAAAAGTTAGCAAACAACATATGGTAGTCTATTGTAAGGGCAAAATGAGTAGGGTATTAAGTGAAAAATAAAATAGATGTATAACTAAGGCAAAGTGATCAGGGCTTTGCACCAGAGCACCAAATTCAGAAGTCACCAATGGCATTTAAAGTTCTTCAAAGTATAAACAATAGAGTATAACCTCTAGTTAGCAAGGATAATTAGTTAATTATGAAGTTACTTTATGGTATGCTTTTTCCTTAGCCCTATCCCACTTCTTACACTCCGTCAACCACGAATAATAATAATAGTAATACTAGCTAATATTTATAGAGCACCTACTATGTGCCAGGCTCTGTGCTAAGTGCTTTTCAATTATTACCCCATTTGATCCTCACAACAACACTGTGAGGTAGGTGCTATTATTATCTTCATTTTATAGATAAGGAAACTGAGGAAGAGGTTAAGTTATTTGTCTAGGGTCATCCAACTAGTAAGCATCTGTAGTCTGATTTGAACTCAGGTCTTCTTGAGGGCAGATCTGGTACTTTATCCATTGCTCCACCTAGCAGCCCCTGGTTGTGAACTCCTTAGTTACAAAAATTACTAGTTTGGGCTCTGGCAGAAAGTAAGATTTTTTAATATTTAATAACTGATCTGTTCTGTGATATTTTCCAAAGCAAAGTGTTAGATAAATGAAAACTATAGTGTGCATTTGTTTTGACAGTATCATCACCAGGATTTTGTCATTCACAAAAATGTTAACCACTTACTTTTTCTATTGACTCCAATGTTTCCGTATACTTCTCTTCTGTCTGTTTGATCTCTGCAAGGCAACAGCTTCGTATGTCATTTTCCAGACACTTCTGCAATTAGAAATGAATAAAACTACAACATTATTTAATGCATTATAACTCACTGATCTTTTCAGTATTAGAATCAAGAAAAAGCACGATTATTTGTAGGTGTTCAAAATTTCAACTTAAAAAAAATGACAGGTAGTTGATGTTAAATATCAACTGTAGGGTATCAAAAATTGATTTTCAATTTTGGAAGAGTGTAAATAAGAAAAGGTGAGAGAGTTAGGGTAGTGTGGTAGAAAAAGCACTGGGCTTAGATCCAGAATACTCTACTACTTAATAATTAAATCATAGGGGGGAACTGAATTTATCTCTTTGCATTTGTCATCTGTAAAATGGGCATAATTACGCTCTAGACCTCATGGGATTGTTACGTGAAACAACCAACTGTAAAGGATTATGTAAAGTGCTATATAATTATTAAGAACAATAATTGGAATGAGAATAAAGATAAATATATGTTCCTTTGAAATAAAAGAGTCTATAACTTTGATAGACTTAGCTCTTCTCAGCAATGAAAGGATCTAAGGCATCTCCAAAAGTCTCATGATGGAAAATGTCCACATCCAGAGAAAGAACTATGGAGTTTGAATGCAGATTGAAGCATGCTATTTGTTCTTTTTTTTTCTCTTCTGTTGGCTCCTCCTATTGGTTCTAATTTTTCTTTACAACCTGACTAATGTGATAAGAATGTATATGTAGACCTATATCAGATTGCATGCCATCTTGGGGAGGGAGGGAGAGAAAATTTAAAACTCAAAAGCTTATGGAAGTGATTGCTGAAAACTAAAAATAAATTCATACAAAAAAATTAAAGAGTCTGCCTGGTGCAGAGTGAAAAAATACAGGATTTGAAGTCAGAAGACTAGGGCTTGAATCTCAGCTTTGCTACTTATTACTTGTATGACACTGGGAAAGTCACTTAATCCCTGTGGACCAACTGGTTTTCTTATCCATCAAACATGTGTTGTGGGGCAGGGTGGAGGGGTTAGATGATCTCTAAGACTCCTAGCTATAAATCTATGATCTAACGGGTTAGAATTCCATATCTTTCACTTGTTATCTGTGTGACCTTGGGCAAGTCACTAAACTCTCTGGGTCTCAATGTTCTTATCTGTAAAATAAAGGGGTCCTTTCTAGCTCCAAATCCTTAAAACTATGATTCTTTTTTTTTCTTTTTTAAAGAAATTTACAATCACTTCCAATGAGCTATTCCCCTTTCCAGACATGCTTCTCTATGTGCATGATGACTGCTTCTAGAAATCCCAACCAAAGCAATGTTAAGAAATTGTCCAGGGTGAAAACTTCAAGTACTTTTCCAAGTACTTGAATCTTGGTGTCTGACTTCTTCCATGTCTTACTTAGAGGGCCATTTATACTGCCCTGTTCCACACCAGTAAAGCCTGCCCTTAGAAATAGAGGGAAGTAGACCATGGGAGAAATCTTCCCAGGACAGCAAAGTTTCAGTAATATAGGAATAGGAGGAAGGAGTTCAGTTAAGCCATAGAAATGTATTATAGGTTGTTAAACATAGAAATGTCGCATTCAGCAGGGAGGAGGAGGTGGTATTTTAAGGTAGTCATAATGTCATTTCAATTAACTCTTCTTTTCATTTATGCTAGAGTACTTGATTTTATTCCCCTATCTAATCTCCAGCTAAAATGGACTATTGACCCTTCCCTAAACAAGTCTGTTGTTGTTGAGGTGTTTCAGTTGTGTCCACCTCTTATGACCCCATTTGGTGTTTTCTTGGAAAAGATACTGGAGTGGTTTGCCTTTTCCTCCTCCAGCTCATTTTACAGATGAGAAAACTGTGGCAAACAGGGTGAAGTGACTTGCCTAGGGTCACACAGCTACTAAGTGTCTGAGACCAGATTTGGACTCAGGAAGATGAGTCTTCCTGACTCCAGCCCCAGCACTCTATTCATCATGCCACCTAACTGCCCCTAACAAGTCTGTAGCCTTCATATTGTCATACTTTTGCTCATACCATTAATTTCCTGTGCTAGTAATGCTCTCCCCAACCATATTTACCCTAGAAAGTTCAATTGCTATCTCCTTCAGGAAGTCTTTCTTGATTCCCTATCTGAAGTCATGGTCCTTTTTTGTACCTCTCTTATGCATTTTCAGCACTTCAAAATTTTTATTATCATCTTGGTGTGAAAGATTCCCTATAGGTTTTCCGCGTTCCTGATTGTGGGCAAGTTGTGAGGATTATTTGAATCCACAGAAAAACTTAGGACCTACTCAATAGAACCTAGGGACATTCAAAAGAGATTAACCTAATAACCCACTTGGGGAAAAGCAAGTCAATTAAAAATTCACAATGCCTATACTGTGATATAAATTTACATGGACATCCCATTGAATTACTTCATCTGTACATAATATCTTGGATGGACAAAGCAAATAAACATAAAACTTCTTCCAGAAATGAATAATGGGAAGAGAAGGGACTCAATTATTTTCGTGTGAATAGATATCCTCTGAATTGAATGCTCATAAAGGATAGAGACTATGTCTTGTTTAGCTTTGCATTCCCATGATGCTTAGTAAGTATTTGGTGAATGAATATTTAAATGAGTGGTGATTATCTGAAATAAATGGTAAGGATGAACTTCTTTTCAGGAGCTTTTAAAAAAATCTCAGCATGATTTAGGATGAAATAGTCTGCAACAGAAGCAAGAACAGAATAATAGAAGAAAATTGCTTTAATGAGGAGAAAGGGCTTAAATAATAGTTTCTGAAGAAGACTGAGCCACTAAAAACAATTAGGCTTGAAATTAATGATATGTTTCTGAGTTACTTGGTATATTGAATACATACTGAGAAAAATTTAGTGTCATGCTGTTTACCAACATTTATTCAAGAGAGTTCCCATTCAAAAGAATTCATAAAAAAACCTGAAGTTATGTGAACTGGTATGTGAAAGAAAGAAAGAAGAGGAGGAAGAAAGGAAAAAAGAAAGAAAGAAAGGAAGGAAGGAAGGAAGGAAGGAAGAAAAAAGGAAGGAAAGAAAAGAGAAGAAAAGAATAGAAAAAAAAACTAGTAGCAAGATAACAAGAATTCTCAAGTAGTCCAATTTAATGATTCCATCCTGGAATAGCTCCCTTCATTTTTAAGAAAATGGGAAGGTTGCAAAGGTTGAATTGAGCACTGTAAGTTTTGTGAAACTGCATTGGCAAGTTTTTTGTTTGTTTGGGGGGATTTGATTGAGAGTTAAAAGACATTACAAATGTTGAATGACTAAAGTACCACCTAAAGAGCATTGAAAAGGATAGATGTGAGCAGGAAACGTGAAAAAGAATCAGAGTAAAGGAGGTCATCAAAGAAATGTATGAGGGGCAGCTAGGTGGCGCAGTGGATAGAGCACCAGCCCTGGATTCAGGAGCACCTGAGATCAAATCCAGCCTCAGATACATAATACTTACTAGCTGTGTGACCTTGGGCAAGTCACTTAACCCCATTGCCTAGCCAAAAAAAATAAAAAATAAAAAAAAGAAATGTATGAGCAAAAAGGATGATGTTAATAATTTGGACAAAGGGATAACAGGTAGAAAGCCCGTGGGGTCCACTCAAGTCCTTGTGATATTAAAAAGAAGTGACAAAAGCTCCCAGAATATTAGGTGAACCCCTATAGAAAACTAAGGGTAAGACAAGGAACAGGAATCACATAGGATGAACAGGCATGAATAAGTTATACTCTAGATGGCTAGGTGGTACAGTGGGTAGAGCACTGGGCATACAGTCAGGAAGACCTGGGTTCAAACCAAATCTCATATACTTAGCTGTGCAACCCTGGGCAAATTACTTCACTCGCTATATGCCTCAGTTTCCTCACTTGCAAAATGGGTATCATAATAATATCTACCTCTATCATAATAATATTTATTGTGAGGATCAAATGAAATAATCTTTATAAAGCACTTAGGACATTGCTTGGCACATAGCAGGTGCTTAAAATCTTACCTTACCTGCATCAGAGGGGGGTTGTCCACATCAATAGGGTCATACGTCATTGAGCATTTGAGCATTTATTTTTTTCTTTAAAATAGCATAAACAATGCACAGTCTTTAAATTCCTTTGAGAATCTATCTAATTCTAGGTAAATGCTTTCCTAAGGAACCATATGGAATCATTTTCCTAGGATAGTTTGAGAAAGCAGTCAACAGCCATGTTTTTGAATTGCCTTAAGGAGTTGTGCCTAGAAATAGATGGCTGGGCAATGGTTTTTTGAGATCCATTCATATCCTTACAGTTATGATCTCAAGGAAAATATAAAATGTACAACTGACTCAATCCTACCTTTCTTTATTGTGATAAATGTAAGTAAAATCACAGAATCAGAATCACAGAAATTGAGAGTTGTATAGAACTCCCATGGCTCGCTAGTCAAGCCCATACTTGAAAGGAATACCAGAAAAGAACAGAACAAGAAAAGAATACCTAGAAAAGAACAGAACAAGCATTTATTAAGTGCCAATTACACGTTAAGCACTTTACAAATATTTTCTTACTAAATTCTCCAAAGAACTCTGTGCAAATCATACAACCTCTTTTGAGTCTATTTCCTCATTTGTGAAATGACAGGATTCAATTCAATGGTCTATAAGGGTCTTTGCATCACTAATTCTATCATCCTCTCCCTTCCCTTACCTCTATTTCTATGATTTTTTTTTTTTGGCTAGGCAATGGGGTTAGGTGACTTGCCCAGGGTCACACAGCTAGAAAGTGTTATGTGTCTGAGGTCAGATTTGAACTCAGGTCCTCCTGAATCCACGGCCAGTGCTCTATCCACTGCCACCTAGCTGCCCCATTTCTATAATTCTTAATCCACTATGTTATGCTGCCTAGCTATCTTAGACTTAAGTATACCTAATATTTAAGATTTAAGGCATTTTAAGTGGAATATGGACTTCTCTGGGCATGCCCAGTTCTAACACGGAAATGCCCACGAGGTACCTTTTGAACATGCCCATTTTACCTACCATAGAGTCTGTTTCAGCCCCTACCACATGGGTTGGGGTAGCCTCCTTTGATTAGTTGCCCGAGTCTTTAGAACTGGAGAAATTGAGCTGTCCACTTCCGGCCCCCCCCAATGTGTTGTTGGCTCCTATCTATTGTGACCAGCATAGATGCCATGAACTGAACCAGTGAAAGGGGAAAGACTTGATTTTTCCTGCTCTCTCTCTTTTACCCTGTGTTCAAGAACTTGCCCCAAGGAGATGTTTGTTTCTGTCTGTATTGTTTGTCCTCAGTTTCGGGACTGGAGGTGATTCCCACAGGGCTCAGAGGTTTGAACCATGACCATCTTGGAGCCAGGCAGAATGGCACAGCCAACCAGCCTGATAAAGAAGTCCTGAGAAGCCTGGGTTCTTGGGGACTCAAGTCCAAGGCTAAACTATGAACCTAATCTTCCCCTCCTCAGAGAATGAGGTGGTGCAAAGGGGAAGAAGAACTATGCCTCCCATGTATTAGGAAAGAAAGTTTATATGTTTGTTAATATGTTTCCTGTAGTAAAAATTCCTTTGTTAAAAAAAAAAAAAGGTCCTGTGGTACATGTGGGGCATTGTTTGGGATAAAATTTGGGCCCTTTGCTTTTACAGGGATCCGGGGACAGACTGAGGCAGCTAGGTGGCTCAGTGTATAGAGTGCTGGGCCTAGAGTCAAGAAGACCTCAGTTCAAATCCAGCCTCAGATACTTACTAGCTGTGTGACTCTGGGAAAGTCACTTAACCTCTGTTTTCCTTAATCCACTGGAGAAGAATATGGCAAACCACTCCATTATCTTTGCCAAAAAAACTCCATGAAAGGTCACGAACATTCAGACACAACTAAGTGACTAAACAACAACAACAACAACAATATATTCTCTACTCATGATTTCTGATTTTATTTTTAATTTTTTGATAATCTTAGGCTAAGAGATTCCAAAGAAATTTGGCAATTTTTAAGGTCACAAATATACTGTGGATTTTTTTTTTCGGGACATGTCCCCTCCCAAGTCAGTTTCATTGGTGTAATTTTCCAAACTTTTTATTCAGTTGCTTGACTGTTTAAATACTGATACTTTTTGTATTATTGAATTCTGTGTATGGAGTGGCATATTGATGTGTTCTGTATTATTGAATACTATGTAAGTAAGTACAGATATTAAGTTTACTTTGAGAAATTTGGAATCACTAGGTTGCTCCTGTCTAGTAGAAATGTTCACATTGTTCTTTTGAGTTTTTTTTGCATTTAAGCAGACCCAGGTGGTTTGCCTTTTGTGAAAGCAAAATGCCCAATAACTTCTCAGGGTGAGAATGCTTATGCCCCAAATCCACAAGCAGCTGAATTTCTTGCCTCATCCCTGTACCTGTACCCTACTTATCTTCTTGTCCTGATGGACGGGTTTGCAATTCCATTTGGTTTATTCCATCGCACCAATCCATGGTGGGGGATGGTTCCATGGGGAGATTCCTTATAGACATCCTAATAGCAGGGGAGGCCTTTGTGATGAGAGATCCAGAGGGAACTGTCTGGATGTCTATTGGGATCACCTCTACTAGACAGACCCCTAGAGAATTTTAGTCTGTGTTGTTTAGAAAGGGACACTTTTTGTGTAGACCTTAGTTGGATGACCTCACGCACTGAGGGGAACATTGGAAGAGTTCTGCCCAGGACAATTTTTTGTTTTTGTTTTTTAGCTTTTTGGGTTTATTTTTTCTTTTGGATGAGGCAATTGGGGTTAAACGACTTACCCAGGGTCACACATCTAGTGAGTGTTATGTGTCTGTGGCCAGATTTGAACTCGGGTCCTCCCGAAGCCAGGGCTGGTGCTCTATCCACCTCACTGCCTCTAGTTGGGCTTTTTTTTTTTTCATTTGAGAAAAAGACAATGCCTAATTGACCCCAGGTCCCAAATCCCTATGGCAAAAACTCCATGTAGCTCAGAAAGGTCATTGGGGACCAGGTTTCTGTTCAAGATATAGTCAATTTTCTTTGTCTTTCTTCTGCTTCTGAATTGAGAAAGGCCCTAAAAGATTAATAAGGCTAAGCAAGCAGATATATCTGGTAAACTTTGTAGAATGCTTCTTATTTTGTTGGCTTATTTAGGGGACTTTGTGAATTGTTCCTTGTTCTCTGAATCTGTAAAACTTTGTATTTGGAGATAATTGATTTTCATCCGTACATGCAGGATTAAATATGACATTTGAGTCTACGTAAGGTACTGGGGAAGCAAGTCAGTGGACTTGCTTACATCTCCTCAGAAATCATAGAGAACTTTTCTGAATTTGGGCCAAGGGCTGTGGGAGAATAAAAAAGATACACCTCTGCCTATTTGCTAAGGAGGGCAAATTTCAAACAGGGGGAAATGTGCAGCCTAAACTTCTCTGGGCATCTCCGGTTCTAACATGAAAATGCCCTTGAGCATGCCCAGTTTGCCTAACATGGGATCTGCTCCATCTTCTACCACGTGGGTGAGGTAACCTCCTTTAATTGGTTGCTTAAGTATTTAAAAATGGTGAGACTTTCATGATGGAAAATGCTATCCACATCCAGAGGGGAAAAAAAAAAAACTATGAAGTTGGAATGCAGATCAAAACCTACTATTTGCTCTTTTTTTTTTCTCTTCTGTTTTATTTTGTTTCTTCTTTCTTGTGGTTCCTCCTATTGGTTCTAATTCTTCTTTACAACATGACTAATGTGAAAATATGTTTAATAGGAATGCATATGTAGAACCTATGTCAGATTGCATCATGCCGTCTTGGGCAGAGAGGTGGAGAAAATTTAAAACTCAAAAGCTTATGGAAGTGAATGTTGAAAACTAAAAATAAATTAATTTTTAAAAAAGGTAGTGAGACTTGGACTTTTACCCTCCTTTTTACCTTCTTTTGGCTGTGTTCTGTCTATCTCATCTATCCAGCACGGATGTTATGAATTAAACTGGTGAGAGGGGAAGGAGTTGCTTCTTTTACCCCAGCTCGGAGAAATGGGTCTGCTGGCATTTGCTTCTGTTCTGTTTGGTTTATCCTCAGTTTCAGGTACAGATGGATCAGACCCATGATTCAAGCCATGATGACCTTAAAGCCTGGATTACTGGGTGCAACCAGCTAGTCTTGCATGGAAGCCCAAGGTACCTGGGACTTGAGCCTAAGGAGGGTTTTGGACTTGAAACTTGGAACTGTGTTCTATGGGAACTGCGTTAAGCCATGATCCTAAACCCTTTCTTCCCTAGAGACTGAAGTATAAGGGGAGAAAGAGATTATTCCTCTTATATGTTAAGGGGAGTAAATTTATATATTTGCTATTATACCTTTTGAAGTAAATATTTCTGGGTTACACAGGGTTTGCAAAACATTTTACCTATACTTTAAAGTACTTTACCTCTCTGGGTCCCTCATTTTCCTCTATAAAACACAGAGAATGTACTGAATGATCTGGAAGGTTCCTTCTAACTTCAAAATTTGTTTGTCTTGATGTGGTTCCAAATGCAATAATTTTGATTTACTACATACATTTCTCCAGTATTTTGCACATAGTAGGGGTTCAAAAAAAATGCTTCTTGTAAATATTAATGAATGAATGAAAAGAGTAAATCAAAGGAAGTTAGTGCATTGGGGGTCCCAATGACATAAATTTATTTCCTAATCAGTATTCTTATAAAGTAACTTAAGAAAAAACAAACAGTAAAAAACGTACTGGCTGCTGGGCTTCTTCAGCCTTCATTAAGTCTTCGTACACTTCTCCCCCTTCATCTTCTCCATAAACACAGTCATACAAGTCTTCTTCATCATCTGCACGAGTTTCACTAAAACCAAGCGAAATTATTGTAAAGGTCAATCTCTAGTATGCAAAACATGTAAGGAAAGACTGAAATACCGCCCACTGTATCTTGTTATTCTTTTAAACAGCCAATTAAAACAATAAGTAAAACAAAATAAATGGAAGGAGCAGTGGCTCAGGAGTTGGGGGGCCCGGGTTCACTCATTCATGAACTAAAGCAGAGTTTGAGGCCTGGTGGTATTGCAACATGGGTGATCTTGGGTGAGTCATTGAATCCCCAAGTCCACTCAATCCTTCTCTGAACTTTAGTTTCCTCATCTATAATAATGTTAACAACAGATAACTCATATGAATTGATGCAAAGTGAGGTGAGCAGAACCAGGAGAACATTGTACACAGTAACAGCAACATTATACAATGAAGAATTGTGAATGACTTAGCGATTCTCAGCAATACAGTGATCCAAGGCAGTCCTGAGAGACTAATGATGAAGCATACTATCTGCCTCCAGAGAAAGAACTGATACTATCCAAATACAAACTGAAGCATGCTATTTTTTCCACTTCCTTTTTTTTTTATTCTAGTCTTCTTATACAAAGTGACTAATATGGAAATGTTTTACATGATTACACATGTATGAACTTTATCGAATGTCTTACCGTCTCAGAGAGTGGGGAGATATTTGGCACTCAAAAAAATTTTTTTAAATGTTTTTAAAATTGTTTTAACATATAATTGGGGGGAAATAAAACATTATTTAAAAGAAAGAACGTTGTAAAACTCTTACAAAATGGGAAAGATTTTAAGCCAGTCACCTCAGTTTACTTGGCCTAAGCTTTCCCCAACTGTAAAATAAGAAGGTTGAACTACACACCCTCTGAGGTCCCCTCTATCTATCAATATCCATGAAATTATATGATATAATAAAAATTAAAATAATAAAAATGATAATAGCTAGCATTTCCAAAGTTCTTTACAAATGAAATATTATTTCATTTTTTCCTCAGAACAACCTTAGGAAGTGGGTGATATTATTATCCCCCACTTTACAGATGAAGAAATAAAGGCAGACAGACAAAAAGCTAGTAAGGGTATAAGTGCTCTATCCTCTGTGCTACCCCAAAAAGCATCACTGTCCATATATAAGGTTATATGACTGCTATTAAAATATCCACCAGGAGCTATCCTAATCCCTTGTGTTTTCTTTGGGCAGTAGGATGGGTAAGCTAGCCCCAACAGTTGTGAATCTACACTATCTTTTAAAGACCATTGGTGAACCAGTTCATGCTGAACCTTCACAGTACAGAAATTCTCTCTTATATTTATTTAAATACCTCATGTTCAGAACCAATATTTCATCAGCATTAGAAACACCTGGTGTGCAAATGCCCAGGCTCCCTTCACAGATAAAGACCAACAATTTCTCCTCAATTTATAATCTTATAGTTGCCAGGGAGCAGTGAAAGCTTAAGCAATTTATACTTGTTGATGCAGACAGAATGTGTTAGAGGCAGACCTTAGAGAAAGGTCTTCCTAACTCTAAGACTAGCCCTCTATCTACTTCACCATGATACCACTAAGCCAAGGTCACACAGCTAGTAAATGATAGAGCCAAGTTTTGAACCCAGATGTTCTGACTCCAAGACATAACCTCTGACCACTAGACCAGGCCGCCACTTGACATCTCCTCTTGTCAGATCTGCATGAAGCCTCTCCTGGTCCTCCTTGATGTTGGTGTCTTCCCTCTGAGATTATCTCCAATCTATCCTGTACACATTTATTTATCCATCTGTGCATTTTGTACCTGGAATTCCCCACCCTGAGAAAATATTATGTCTTACTCCTACCCTGTCATCATTATAAACACATTCAAAGGTAAATATTAATTATTTTCTTTCATATTGGCCATTTTGGATTGTCTACAACCCTGTTCCTTTCTACTAGCTCAAGTAATCAAAAGGGGATTTTTTTTAGGAGAAAAAAAAACTCTATCCTCTGTGCTACCCCAAAAAGAACCACCGTCCATAAATAAGGTAATATGACTGCTATTAAAAAACATCCATAAAGAGCTATTCTAATCCCTTGTGTTTTCTTTGGGCAGTAGGATGGGTAAACTATCCCCAGTAGTTGAGAATCTACTCTCTCTTTTAAAAAGCACTAGATATCGCCCTGGTGATCCAGTCAATGCTGAACCTTCACAGTACAGAAATTCTCTATTTAATCTAAATATAGATTTAGAGTTACATGTTTTCATGTTCTATCTCACTAGACTGTGAGCTCCTTGAAATTAGGGATTGTTTTTGTTTTTGTTTTTGTTTTTTTGTTTTGTTTTGTTTTGTTTTCTTGTATCTCCAATACTTAACACAGTGTGTAGCATATAGTAAGTGCTTAATAAATATTTGTTGGCCTGGCTCTAAGGGACAATGATAGCATCTAGACTCATAATTTCATTGTTAAAGGGAACTCCTGAATGAGAAAATTCCTTCTACCAATGTAGTCTGGCACTTCTTTATAATTTATGATCTTAGAGAGTTGACTAGATCACTCAGAAGTCAGGTGATTTGTCCAGTCATAACACCAGGACGTTTTCAAGGTGGCCCTTGATCTCAGATCTTCTTAATTTCAAGGCTGGCTCTCCATCCATTACACAACACTGCCTCTCATATTACACTGTAAACCCATTTCTTTTAGTTTGTTCTCACTGAAGTTAGATGTTACCATCCCCACTATGATTTCTGTAAGTAATGCTTAAAAATTTGAGTAAATTCTCAGAGAATGGAGATGGATTTGACTAAACATGTATAGCCTATATTGAATTGCTTGCCTTCTCAGTGAGGGGAAGGAGAGAATTTGGAACTCAAGGTTTTGAAAATGAATGTTGAAAATTGTTTTTGCATGTAACTGGGGAAAAATAAATACTAAATAAATTAAAAAAAAAAAGAATGGCTCAACCATTTTGCAGCTCCACCAGCCGCGCATCAGTGTGCCTGTTTTTTCCTTAGCTCTTTCAATGATTGTCATTTGCCTTTACTATCATCTTTGCCAGGCTGATGGGTGTGAGTTGGAGCCTCACAGTGGTTTTAATTTGCATTTTTCCAGTTATTAGGAATTTGAAACATTTTTTTTAATGTGGTGGTTAATTGCTTAGATTTTTTCCTTTGAAAACTGACTTCTGCATTTATAGGTTTAGACAACCAGCCCATATGTGTGTGTATGTATATATGTATATACATATATATAACTTTAAAATAAAATACTGTGGTAAATTTTAAAAAAAAGGATGAAGACGAATTTAATTTAGACATGTTGTTGACAGAACAACATGAATATAGTTCCCGAAATAAACCTTACCTTCTCAAAGAGATCCCTCATCCGCTGCCCTGGGGCTAGACACCACATCATAAAATTGATATTTATAAAAAGAAAGCACAGTAACTTTCACAAATGGGAACATTTTGCAACATAGGTGTGTTTGTGTTGGTTGGCATACACAAGAGCTTCTGTGAATGTAGGTAGGTGGGTGTGACCAGAGAAGCAGTGGTTTGGAGAGGGGTTACTCAGAAGGAGGGAAAGAGAAATTTAAGAGGAAAAGGAATGATTGTTGGGAGGAGTTTCTGAGGGAAGATTTTTCTGGGGAATGACTGACTATTCCAAGGACAGTTATTGATGTTCTAATGGAAGAACAGTTATTCGATTAGATAAACTCAAGACCTAGAGTTTTTCTCCTATGCTTTTCCTTTTCTAAGCTAGTTAGATAGCCTGCCAACTCTCCCTAGATCCCAAGATGGGCTGATCCTTGACTACTTCCCCAGGACAAGTATATGGAGTTTCTTCCCTGAATACATCTGAGATGTTCAATTACTTTTGGTTAACCAGGAAAGACTTGACTCAAACACTTTATGCAATTGTTCAACACTGTACTAAAGAGATTTTTTTTCTCCTAAAAAAAATCACCTTTTGATTATTTGAGCTAGTAGAAAAAAAGAGTTGTCCATAATCCAAAATGGCCAATACGAAAGATAATAATTAATATTTATCTTTTAATGTGTTTATAATGATGACAGGGTAGGAGTGTAGACATATGATTTTCTCAGGGTGGGGAATTCCAGCTATAAAAACTCCTTCCAGAGATGCAGATCAATACCTCTTGTACAAGTTAGTGTCTTAGAGAGGGGCTTTGGGGTACTGACATGTGGTGTGAGGGGCTTGTGTAGTTGGTCAGGTCAAAGGTAGGTAGTTGGTCAGGTCAAAGGTAGGTCCTAAATCCATGTCTTCCTGACTCAAAGGCTAGACTTCTGGTTATTCTTCCACATTGCTTCTCAATCATAATTATGATAATAAGAACTCTTTAATAGCGTTTTGACATTCACAAAAGGCTTTACAACATCATTGTCTCATTTGATCCTCACAAGACTGTGAAGTGTCTACTCTTGGTGTTATTATCAGTAAGGGTCAGACAGGTTAGCTGAATTGCCTGTGGTGATACATACAGTAAGTCAAAGGTCTTTCTGAATTGAACCAAGGTCTCTCTGAATCTAAGCCCAGAATTCTTTCAATTACGCATCTTTTGATAATAGCTAACATTTATACAGTAGCTTAAAGTTCGCAAAGAATTATATAGAGACAGATGGAAGAATAGAAAGACAGATGGATGGACAGATGGATGGATGGATATTATCTCATAACCACAAACCTTGCAGGGTAGGTGCTATTTTTAACCCTATGTTATAGATGAGGAAACTAAGGCAGGCAGAGGTTAAGTAATTTGTCCAGGGTCACATAACTAGTAAATGCCTGATGTACGATTTGATCTCAGTCCTTACTGGCTCTAAGCTCAGCACTTCATCCCCTATAACATCAAGCTACCTACCAAGGCCAATTTTTATTTATAGTTGGATGAAGACATATCTGAGTCCAGGGCACTTAGGTGGCACAGTGGATAGAGTGCCAAGCCTGAACTCAGGAAGACTTATCTTCCTGAGTTCAAATCTGGCCTCAGACACTAGCTGTGTGACCCTGGGCAAG